AAAAGCAAAAGACCCAGACCTCTGTATCGCCGCGGAGTATAATCGCTGAGCAGGGTGTCCAGAAGTACGTTTCATGGCGCAAGTTGCACAATCAAAATTTTTCAGGGAGGCATATTTTGACGGATTTTTGAGGGGACAAATTTTTGGCGGAGTTATGAATTTTCGGACTAAGGTACAAGCAGAAAAAACATGGAAAAGACCGCACCAAAAGTAATTGTATATGATCTACGATTTTTTAAATTCTATCTTAGCTTGCTTTGTTTTTAAGAAATAGTGAGCAATAAAATATTTTGGGAGGAGAGGGGCACCCCTGTTGCTTAGCATGTGTTAGCCGGTAAACCTATCATCCCTTTAACATTTATTCCACTTTTAAATATAACGACAGCCCCAAAACTTCTACATATTGTAAAATAATAGTCGTATATTAACAACATATCCAAGAGTGTAATTTAGATCACGATTTTGACTTCCCCTGAACTGGCCCTTTTCAATTTTTTTATTTTTAGTTAAAATGGTAGTCCTTAGTAAGTTTTGATTATAATGCTGCTTTTAACTTTCACTCCAGACCCTTTTCAGTTGAGGTTAAGGCCCTAAATGTGTGATCATAAGATGTTATGCCCATCTATCAAAGTGAAACAGCTACTTATAAGGTTGTAACCTTCTTTTAATTTAAAAAACACTTTAAAAAAAAAAAAAACCTGTACCACTACAGCTCATGAAGGGTATTGGGTTCAGTACTATTTCAGGGCTAGCCGTTGTGCAGAGAGAGGATCGGGCCAAGATCACGCTCAACCGCCAGGTTTTTCCTCTTAATTAATTATTTAATTAAGGGTATCCACTTTGTAGAGGCTGGGTGTGCCTCAGGAGGGTCTCCCTATCCCAGGGCCAATGAAACAGAATAAATAATTTTTCTGCCATGAGGTGTAAATCGAACCTGAGACCTTGAGCATTGAAAGCTTAGTGCCCAACAACTGAGCTACACTTAAGCTTCTTAAAATTAAAATTGTACATGTTTACAGATACGATGCCTCCCGAGTTTCTATTTTCTTCAAAGATGTACAGTTTACTACAAGTCACAGGAACGAGCTTTATGGAATAGTCGATTTTCTAGGTATACTTGGTGAACTTCCTTTCACACACATTAAATTATTACTATAGTAGCTTATAATTAATTATATGTTATTTTTGTTCCAGCAAACGTCGGCGGCTTACTCGGTCTTTTTTATGGAGTGAGCGTCCTCAGCTTCGTTGAAGTTTTGTATTATTCAACTTTACGATTATGGGCGAATTTAAAGCAAATCAGAAGAAGAAGTAGTGCATAGGTTAAAAGAAGTTGGAAATTTATCTTTCTTTATAATTTTAAATAAATCAGATTTTCTGAATAATTTATATCTAATTATAATAAAAACATTTCTTTAACAGTACCTGAAAAATCGATCGAAACGTTCTTTAAATGTCACTTTTTTATCCCTGTGGAGTAAGTTTAAGTATTTATAAACACAAGTGGATCCAGGAGTTCATTTAAAAGAGGCTTCAGCCCGAGAGATTTTTTAAAAATTTATTACAATAATTATTTTGGAAGAAAAATAAAGAAACTAACTACTTATACGAGATGGTATTTAAGTGATGTTTGAAGTCCTATTAAATTTAATTACACAAACAATAATACTTTTAATACTTTTTTCATAAGACAAAAATTATAAGATCCGTCTGTATTCCTTAACACCCTTATTCACTTAATATAGGAAAGGTTTGATCAAAATTTGTAATGTCAGTCACCACAATATTAATATTAGCATTCACAGATTTAAAAATAATAAATTATGATACATCATTAATACTAATAGGCAAAATGTATATCAAGGATTCTAAAAATGCTATATATGAAAAAGTTCTTTTGTATGCAAACACCCTTATGATCGTCTTAGTTATAAAAATTATCATTTCCTATGGTAAATAATAAATAATGCACTATTTCAGAATATATGCTTCAAAAATGAATAACTACATTTTTTCCCCTAAACTTGTGTTCAATAAGCTGCTTTACGTTGTCCCATAACTTGAAGATAATTGAATACAAACAGAAAAATTGGCAAGAACATGATAAAGTACCTAAGGATCTAACTAGTAGCATTACTTGTCGAAGTGATTGTAAACTATTTCTAAGTCTTCATAATAGAACTTATAGTAGAAGTTAGAATGAGAAGCGGGTGACCTTGAGGACAATTTTTCTCCCACCAACTTTAAAAATTTCTTCGGAACATCATATTACCACCTAGGAGAAGCTTATTTTCTCTCCTACTTTATATTCTGACCTGTAATAAAATGGAGAAAAGATTTAATGCGGATGAGAGATAAACCTTTCTCAAGAGACCACCTTTTATTCCGACTGCTCCTATTGGAAGAATTTAAAACATTTATCGGTTAAAATAATCTCCTATTTAGACCAAGCAATCCCAAGTTATAGTACTTAAAAGTACTATGTTATTTTCCAAAAACAGTAACAAAAAAAAAAAAAAAAGATCTGATGCTTCTCACAACTTTCATTTATCTTACTTTCAGTAGAAATTAGGTTTTTAGAAAGTCAATAAACTGTTTTTGTTTAAATATAAACATAAAATTAAGACAATTAATACAGATGAAAATTCAGTGCAGTATGTATGTTTGGTTTATCAAGCTGAAAAAAAAAAAAAAAATTATTTTTACTTTTTTAATTATTTTTTTTGGTAATTCCATCTAAACTGCTGAAAAATGGATAAAGTCCAGTCAATGAATGCTCAAAAAGAGGTATTGGGGACTCAATTTTTGACTTTGGGACATTTGGGCTAGTAAGGAGGTAAACACACTAAAAGTCCCCACTCCTAGCTGGTGAGCCAGATATGGGGGGTACCTAGAAGTTTACTTTTTTGGGGTTTTCACTTATATCAGGAAAACAATCCATTGCATTGACAAAGATGTTCTATACAAAATTAAAGCTGATAATAGTTGCAAAATGATTGGTTATATATCTTTTTTCTCTAACTCGCTTAGTTTCCGAGATACCCGTCCTCAACTATGGCTGATCTTGAAATAAATTTTTATTTGGCCTATTAGCCATAGTTAAGGACAGATATCTAAGAAACTATAGAGCAATAAAAAGTATATAATAAATAATGTTGCAAATTTTATCAGCTTTAAATTTGTATAGAACGTGTTTGTCGATGGATAGTTTTCCTAATATAAGCGAAATAGTTGAGGACAGATATCTCGGAAACTAAGCAAGGTAGCGAAAAAAGGTATATGATCAATCATATTACAAATTTAACAGCTTTAATTTTGTATACATCTTTGTCAATGCAATGGATAGTTTTTCAGACATAAGTGAAACCCGAAACAGTGACCTTATAAGCGCCCCTCCACATCTTAGCTCACCACCTAGGAGAGTGCATTTTTAGTATATTTATCTCCTTCCTAATACAAAAAATGTATCGAAATAAAAAATTGTGTCCTCCCTCCATTTTCTTCTATAATCATTCATTGGCTGGACTAATAGGAATATTGTTAGTTATGTATGATTTATTTTCTCTAGAATTTTCATTATAAAATACATTGAAAATTGATAAGAATAAGATCGTAGTTGGCCTTGGGAATTTAAAAAAAAAAAAGTGTTTTAAAAGAATAATAAAATTTAATGTTTTTGTGATCTTGTTTTATGATTGTGAATTAAAAATTTTGTAAAATTTAATAATTTGTGTAATATCCTCTGTTATGCACTACCTCTCTGCAACTATTGGCCATATCGTTTATAATATCACTGATTTGACAAGGTTTCATACCATAAACATGCATGGTAATACTGCTCTCAGTTGCTGAAGGTTAAGAAGCGGCAGATAGTCGTCAAAAAGCTTTCTCTGTAATGCATTCCACATCTGCTCAAATGGATTGAAATCTGGAGACAATATGGGAAGAGGCAGATGTGAAATGTACACATTTTCAAGACATTGATTTCCTCCATGAGGTCATGTATTCTTGTCAAGAAAATGGATATCTGAGCCAGTTATGGCTCTGGCTTAAGGAATGTACTCCTCTATAATTATTTCAAAATCTTGAACTGCAATGAGATTGCCATTGACAATACGGAGTAGTGTCGGACCTCCTGAGTAGATGGCGGCGCCTACCGTCACACTCCCACCTCTATACTGCATTGAAGGAAAGATTCTCAATTATTTTTAACAAACAAAATTAAAGGTACTTCAAAAGGAGAAGTTTTGAAAATTTGGTATTTAAACCCTGTCCGCACATTTCAATGAAGATAACACCTACCTGATATTAAAGACCACTTGATTTTACATTTATATAACGGATTTGATCAATATTCTTAATAATTTTCAAGAAAATATGTAAATATTACTTAAGAAATTATGTAAATATATAAAGTTCCACTTCTGAGACGTCATGTTTAGGGAAAAAGTTTCTATAACATTTCTAGTATATACATACCTTAAATATATGACAGACACAAATACATCCATGCAAACACCATTTTTCAAAACTTAATTATTTTACTCAGTGGACCTCAAAATGTATATTTCATTTTCAAAATTCATTCATGAAATTTTCACGATCACAATACATTCTCTTACTATATATTTTATATATAGTTAAACGAAAAGAAAAGCATTAAAGTTTAATTTTGTACAAAACCCTTGAAAATAGGACATTGTCAGAATTGATCTTTGTAGTTTTCTGTATACACATATTACCTATAACAAATATAATGTATATCAGAAGGTTGAAAATTAATAACTTGTAAGATAAATATGCGATGCTTAAAATTTAAAAGTTTAATGTTAAAAACATATTACATCCAATAACTAACCTATATTTTTGAATACATTAGGAAGGTACATATATAATCTATTTTGATAGGTAACAATAATTCTTCTCATTTTAATAAATTCTTTAAAACATTTAAAAATTTTTGGATAACAGGTATTAAATTAGGCAACGTTTTAATGTTTACCCTAAATATATAAATGTGTATTTAATAAAATATATTCATAGAGCTGTTTTGCAATAGGCCTGAAACAAGAATAACTTTCCATTAATAGGAACAAATAATTATTTATTATAATTTTTTTTTATATAATTAAAATACCTCATATTTATAAAATAAAACGTCGCTGCAAAGGTACACCCTCAGGAAAATCATAAGGGGAGTTTAACTGAGAAAGGGGTTCATCCTAAAATGAAAAAAAATAAAAATATTTGAAATTATAAATAGCTGTAATATTATTATATATTTTAATAATAAAAATTTAACATACAGAACGACGCTTAGAAACCATAAATCTCTTAAATTTTCTTGGCCAAAAGTCACTGTCATGTGGGTTTTGATTTAATGATGAAATCGGCCCATCCATCCAGACCCCTATAAAATAATCGTTACTCATTAGGATCATATTAACCTTGATTTATTTTTTATAAAACAGATCACAATGGCCTTGAAACTCAGTTGTAAGTCACCCCCCTCCTTTTTTTTTTAATTTAAAGGACCTCGAAACATGACGGCAATCAGCCTCAAAAAACATCACTGATATAATATAAGTTATATAATTGATGATTATATATTGTTTGTTATAGATGAGCATTATTGCAATCAAGGAGAGCTTTTGACCCAGATACCCATAAGAAGATAATTTATTAAAATTAAATTATTTGATTAAAACTATATACTAAATTTTATTTTACGGACAGTTTTATTTATCCTATATCATTACAAAAGTATTCCATTAATATTAGTAAAAGTGTTATACATAAACTGTAGAGAAGAAGTGATAATGAACAATAAATCTGAAATATCAAACATTATATTTTGTAGTCGTCCCAGGTCAACTTCCATCCAAGACCCTCCCTCTCTCCTGTGGTGTCCCTCAAGGTTCCTCTCTCTCTCTCCTACTCTGCTATCTACATCAATGACCTTCCCCTCCTGATCCGTCACTCCCAATACCACATCTATGCAGAGGATTTCCAAATATACCTGTCCTTCCTGCCCACCGACCTATTATCAGCTACAGAAAAACTTCAAGAAGACTTGGATAGGTTTGTGACTGGGCGAGAGCCAAAAGTTGAAGTTGAATGCGGAAAAGACAAAGACAATCTTAATTGGCTCCAATCACCTCCTTAAAACTGTTCCTCATATACCAACTCTATTCCTACATGATAATCCCATCAAATTTAGTCCCTCTATCAAAAACCTTGGAATAACCTTTGATCAAACGCTTTCCTGGAAAACCATGTATCCAACATCTCCTGCCGTATTATTTCCACCTTAAAACGTCTAAACTACTTCTGTCACCTATTTCCTCTTGAAACCCGTAGGCTCCTGGTGACTTCCTTAATTTTCCCCACTTTGACTATTGCTGTACGGTATATGAGGGCGTCTCTGGGGATTTCGAGGCAAAAGTAAAACGTTTGATAAATTGCTTTGTATGATTCATCTTCACGATCCCAAGGGACCCCTCTATTTCCCATTTTTATGCAGAGTTGAAGTCATCCAGTCCCCATAAAATTGTAAATAGATACCACTGTAAATATGTATATAAATTATTAGATCGTTTTATTTTTACTTTATTTTCCATTTTTTATTATTAACCGATTTCAGTTAGAAAGTAACTTATAATTTTATTATTATGACTATTTAATTACTCAGCATTTTTTTTTTTTTATGTATCTCTGAGGCTCCTTAGCCCACATTTCTGCCCTTCTGTATTATTCTAAAGGGACTCGTCCCAGAATAAATAAAATATTATTATTATTATTATATACTTATATGTCTTAGAAACAGAATTTCAGAAACCACCCAATTTCCCACCGTAGCTAATTATTAAATTAAGAGCACCCAATTTAAAGATGCTGGATTTGCCTCAAGAGCCAGGATTTTCTAACAGATGCCATGGCCGATCCACAACTGTTGTAACAGAATGAATAAATACTTTCTACAGCTAGACATGAACTCAGGATTTGAGCATAGGAGTACAGTGGCTTACTCATTAAGCTACCTCACTTCCTACATTTTATATTTAAAATCTTTAAAAAAATTAAAGTGAAAATATAGGTCTTACCATTATGGCTAAAATTTGAGTCACTGTCAACTTCATTTTCTTCATGTCGTTCTGGTAGTTCAAAGTCCTCAGAATCTGCTCCATATCCAGGCCAATTGTTTCTGTCAGAAAATAATATCACATGTTATAAATACTAAATTATAATGCAATTAATTATTGATAGTTTTATATGCTTAAAAAGGATTTTTATCATCAAGTTTCAATAAAACTACTCATCATAAAAAATAAACAAAAAAAACTACGGTGTGTGTGCTTTAGACTTAAAGGGTATAAGTGAAAACATCAACAAGTCGAGATTAATAATATGAAATATAAATTATAAATAATAGCTCATTACAAAGAAGATGAAATGTTGAACCATTTCCCTCGCTTACAGTATACATGTCCGATTTCTATTATCTAAAATATTTTAACCATATCTTCAATACAACTCATTATAATTTGGTATTCATCATAATTTCTTTACCTTTTCGCGTCTTTAACAGGCCGTCGTGTTAAGTTACAATCTTGAATTATAGCCTATTACAGAGAGGATATAATGCGATTTTTAGGCAGATCCAAAAAGATCTGGCCAGATGAAAAAAGAAAACAAAGCTGAGATTGATAGATAAAATTAGTATCAATGTTATTATTATTTGTACAATGTTAGGTTATAATTGGGAAAATTCCAACCACACAGCCAAATGTTTCCAAAATGCAGGTAAAGAATAAAAAACCCGCAATTTTAGAAAATTAGAGAGTATGCGATTGGATGACATGAATTGATGTGATATTTGATTTTCTGTCTTGATGGTGCCTGAATTTGTGAAACATTGACTTTTTTTTTTATTCTTAATCTGCATTTTGCAGATATAAATCTATGTCTTCAGAATTTTTCCAATTATAACTTAACATTGAATTTCTGTCTCTTGGTGAGTTTTGTTACTGATTTATATTAATTATTGATATATTAATATAATCTCTAATTTTATATACAATTAAATATGTGTATAGTTTCGTAACATTAATATCCTAAATTAGCACTAATCAGGCCAAAATTCTATGGATAGATAGTCTATTTAAGCCAATAAACATATTATATACAGGGTGGTTACCAGGCAGTTAAAGTAAAATTCCATGACATTTCCCTATTTAATGATAATTTTCCTTGACCAATATGTCTGGGGACATAAATATTAAAAATTTATAATTTATAACTAAATTTATTTATTATACATGAAAGGAAATTGATTTTAAAATGATTTGAGTAAAAAAAAAAAATCAGTCTTTTCAATAACAAATATAATGTTTTAGAGGAAGTATTCTTTAAGATTGATTAGGATTTTTTATGTTAGAAAACTAAACGTTTAGTAATTTATTTTTATCACTTATTTTATTTTCATAAACTGAGAGGAGGTAAAAGTTGATATTTGATAAATAAATATATAATAAAAAATAAAGTGAGCTACGGGGGATTCTAATATTAATGTAGTTTCTCATTCGTAACTTAGTTTCTTTATTAGTATAAACAGCATATTAATTATCCTTATTATGCAAATTAATTAATTATCCTTAACTATGCAATTTATGTTTAAGAAATGCACTTGTTCATTTTGTTTGAATTTCATTCATTACCCTTGTTTGATATCAATATAATGATCAGTGCCGTTATTGACATTCAAAGGTGGCTGAATATAGAGATTGTGGTCGTTTATAACGTTTATATATAATGAAGTTTTTCCCTTTAAGATCAAGTTTGCTCCATAAATGATATCCACTGTATATTTATTTCTAATTAAAAAAAAAAAAATTCCCTGACTTTTCCCATTTTTACAGGTCGGTCGCCATCCTGTTTATATCTATCTACAAATCATAATTAAACATTAAATTAATTAATATAATCAACTAACAAGTTTTTGTTATTTATTTATATTTATTACCTTTGGTCATGAACTCTGCCAGTTTGTCTTCTCTGAGATTCCAACAATCTCATGAGGGATATAATCTCTTCAGGGCTTAAATCGTATGGATCATAATCTCTTTTTGAACGGAAGCTTCATAAAAAAAATATATATATATATATAAGTATACATGTATCAGGATATTTTAAAAAATAAAGTAATAATATTAGATTTTACAATTATTTAATACCTGTTTTTAGTAGTAGTTCCTCCTTTGTGCACATCACGTTTTCGCCTCGCATCCATCATGTTGTACAATGATAGGTCACCATATCCTAAAACTACAAACAAATATTATATTTATAAGACATGCAAACTTTATAGAAATAATTTTTACAGTGAAAGTACTTCATTAATGTTTCAGTATTATCTATTATGACTATTAATTGTGGGTTGATGGTTGACTGTAGTGAATAATGAAGAGAAGGATGGTTGGGATGATCGATCATATTAAAAATGGCAAAAATAAATAATAAATATTACAATTATTCTTATTTGTTGTCTTAAATGTATCAATGAAAAAATAAAAAGTTTAACACTACAATCCATGGGGGGTCTTGGGATGAATACATTATAAAGAAGTGGTTCTATTTCCCGACAGGACAGTGATAAAGGCGAGAACTGAAACGCTAAATCTGACCAGGAAACCCTGGAGCCTCGACGATAGTGCCAACTGTTCCTTATGCAACCTCAGGGTACCAGAAGATATTTTCCATTTTCTCGCAATTTGCCCTATTCTCAAAGAATTCAGAAGGCATACATTTGGGAAGAATATATGGCCAGAGGGTGAAGTCAGAGCTTCGTTAAATGGAAAGAAATATAATTTACTTTACAATTATGTTAAAAGGACTACATTTAAATATACTACTTATATATTAGAAGCACTAATGTTTAGTTTTGTTTTTGTTTTTTTACTCATTTTTATATTATTATTATTATTATTATTATATTTTAATGTTTTTATAGGCAGCGGGGTGGCTCAGTGGTAGGGCACTGAGCTTCCAATGCAAAGGTCCCGAGTTCGAACCCGGCTCATGACAGAAAATTTATTTATCTGTTTCATTGGCCGTGGGGCGACCTTGGGTCAGGAGTCCCTCCTGGGGCACACCCAGCCTCTATAAAGTGGGTACCCTTAATTAAATAATTAATTAAGGGGGAAAACCTGGCAGTTGAGCGTGATCTCGGTCAAATCACCTCCTTGCACAACCGTGGACCTAGAAACAGTACTTTCCGTAAATAGTACTGAACCCCAGACCCTTTATGGGTTGTAGTGGTACAGATTTTTTTTTTAATGTTTTTTATATTTATTATTATATTGTTATTTCCATAAAAAAGAAAAGAAAAGATATATACAAAATGCAATTGTTATTTAATCTATCACTCAAGCTGATGGGTGTCTCCCATAGCTTTTTGTAAATTTATTTCTGTATTAAAATTTGTATTTCTTTGTTAATGTGGAAAATAAAAATTATTTCATTCATTCATTATATATTAATTTATAAATACAATATAAATTATATATACCTGGTTCATTATGAAGAGATTCTTTTAATGCTGCGTTTCGTAATAACATCCCGTAATTAGGTTCCCTGCTGATGTAGGGATATGACTTCTCATACTTCTCCCCGGCACCAAGCTGATTGCTGTCGTAACCCTGTTCTTCCATCTGAGGTATAATATTGGGCAAGGTGGGAACGTCGTCGGGTAATGAGTTATCTCCAACATCTGCAATATTTGGAAAACAAATAATAGTTGAGGCAATAAAAACAAAATTAGAAACATTCTTTTAATAACTCAAAATTTTACCTCTTTTTTCTTGTTTAGGACTACCATATGTATTCACGGCTCTGTTCTGTTGATTTCCAAACATCAAAACTTCTTGTGCTCTTTTAACTGAAATAGAAAGTGGTTTTAAGGAATTTGTGAAAACTTAAAAATAAACGCTAATAGATAGTTAACTAAAAAAAATTATTAGTAATTTAATAAGAAATTATGTTTAATTTTTCATTATAACTTTTGTAAAGACAGTAAACTCTCTCTCTCTCTCTCTCTCTCTCTCTCTCTCTATATATATATATATATATATATATATATATATATATATATATATATATATATATATATATATAATCACAAATATGTAACGAAATTGGTGGATTTTGTCAGAATAAAAATCTAAAAAGTTGATGACATGTAATGTAAAATTTTAATTTCTTCTGATTTGAAATTAAGACAAAATCTTGATCTAAGTTCATCAGTTTTAACAAACAATTAAGTCCTAACCTAATCTATATCACCCATTCATTTTAATTCAACTTCTGGAAGTTTACGAAATATGGTCTTATGTAATAAAATTAGATATCCATGTACATTCAGCTTGCTGTTTATCAATTCATTAATACATAACCATTCGAGTTATTACATTAGGATAGTGGTAAGGTAAAAAATATTATGGGGAAAATGTTTCAAAATTTCGTAAATGTCAAAGCACATTGGAAGATATGAATCGATTTATTATTTATTTATTTTATTGCATTCCTAATTCACATCTATCAATTGCCGCAAAAAATCGTACAATCACTGGCAAGTAAATAAAATAAAAGTGAACACTTTTAGCATAATCATGCGACATTTATTCCACATCACTAAGCATGAATAATAATTTTTAACTATGTTTTGAAGAATGTTGTACCATCACTTCAAGGACGTTGTGAGTCACCAACCTTATCCGATTTTTTATTTTATTTTTTTCTTGAACAGGAAATACCACTTAAACACCATTTCCTTCCTTCCATCTTCAGCATTTTTGACTCCTTGGCACTTCTTTCCTCATTCTGATTCACTCTACTGAGATTTTTCTTTTTCACATTTTTTTTTTTTTTTTTTTGGCGATTGTTTAATGTGCGTGGAACCCAACTTTCAAGCTTTTTCACCTTTCCAATCCCCTTGAGGTAGATTTAATAAGATAAGCATCCCTGAAGTTCTCGATGAGTTGTTCTGGGTTTTTCTTCTTCCAAAGCCCGCAGAACATTGTCATCAAGAGAGTAAGTCCTTCCACGATCTTCTTTGTCTTCAAGGCTGACGTATCCTCCCGAAATTTGTAGAACCTCCGTTTAACAGTTTACTCATTAATATCGCTCTCGCCTCAGATTCGATTGATGTTTCTGGCCGTACGGGTCCCGTTCCGAACGAGCTTAAACTCGCAAAACAAAATTTCAAAACAAAAGGGGGGGGAGGGTGCTTCCAGCCTTGAATAGACGATATGAAAGTATTTCCTCTAGGTATAGCCTTTATGAGTAATTACCCACCGTCAATTCCACTACTCAATGGTATCCTCCCGTATTATTCTTTGCCATTTAGATGGATCTGCCGCAATTCTTTCTTGGAGATTTTCCGGATGACTTCTTGCTGAGCCTTCTTTCTTAAGAATATTCTTAAGCTTGTCTTCTTGCAGGAGAAGGTCGAGAGGTACCCCTCCTGCTAAAACCTGCACCGCTCCATGAGCGGATTACTCAAACTTCTTAAATTTCCCAGCTTCAAAAACCTGTCTTTGGCAAAACGAAAACCTATTTTTTTTTTCGTAATTAATGCACATTACTAGCATTTTTTTTTATAACACGAGCGTCTTATATGGTCTTTTTAAGAACCGAAATATTGAGTATACCTCTTTGAATTTATGAGAATATAGGCCTGTCAAAAGTCCCCATTACAAGTTTTCAGTAGCTGACATCCATTAAATTTTGCAATTCTCTAATAATTTTGAGTAAAAACAGAAAAAACAAAATCTAAAACCATTCTTATCCGTCGAAAGATTAGTTTAATTTTAAAATTATTGCGTTTTATGATGTTGCCACCTAATTATTCCCTGAAAATTATTATTACAAAAAAAGGTTTGAGCTCTGTTGAGATTTGAGGTTTTACCTTTATTATTCCTATATTTACATTTTATTTTCTTTAAACCTATTACATTTAAATAAAATTTATATTGAGGACTAAAGCGATTGGGGAGAGGAATGTTGAAGTTTTAACCTTACCCAATAATTTTAAAACGCAAACAGTTATTAAATTTGAAATCCGATTTCAAACTGTCAAAATTAATATAAAACATTTTACTAAAAGAGCTACTAAAATTAAAAAAAAAAAAAAACCTGTACCACTACAACCCATGAAGGGTCTGGGATTCATTACTATTTAGGTAAAGCACTGTTTCTAGGTCAACGGTTGTGCAAGGAGGTGATTTGACCGAGATCACGCTCAACCGCCAGGTTTTCCCCTGGTTAATTAATTTTTTAATTAAGGGTACCCACTTTATAGAGGCTGGGTGTGCCCCAGGAGGGACTCCTGACCCAAGGTCGCCCCACGGCCAATGAAACAGATAAATAAATTTTCTGCCATGAGCCGGGGTTCGAACCTAGGAGCTTTGCATCGGTAGCTCAGTGACTAAAATTAAAAATAAATACTAAATAAATTACCATTTAGTCCGAGAAAATTTAACTAATAAAATGTTTTTGAATCCGATACATACTAAATCACTGAGAAAGAATTGTTGAGAAATTTTAATTTTTTTTATTGTTGTTCAAATTGTAAAACTGTTAAATAATAATTTGTAAAAAAATAAATTGTTAAGGAAGGATAGTATAGTTCAAACAGTGTGATTAGAATACTTTCATTTTAAGAATTTTGTCCGCATCTGAACGACTGTGCGGCGCGCCGCACGATATAAGGTGGAATACCCGCACATCAACACCGTCGTGCGGGTTTCCGGATACTGCGCCCTAATCCCACATAACACTTCTACTTTCACTAAACTACACTAGCGGATCCAGGATTTAATTTTGGTGGGGCTTACTTAAGGGCCTTGACGGCCAAAACAAATGTTATTCGTTTTTCGAATTCTACTTATCCTGAAAAGTAAAACCTAAAATTTTGAGAGGGAGTTAAGTTTTTGAATTTTTTGTTCGATCACAACGGTTCATAATTGAAAATAATAAACCAAAAATATTTAAACATCGCGATATCTTTACTAATAGTGCTTTGATTTAGACGAAACCTTCTTCCTTTTTTAGAAAATTTAAATATATTTGAAACATCTTATCACAATATTGAAAAAAAAAAAGTGTATACTTTTTGAGTTATTCAGAAACTAATTTTACCATCCCACGTAAATAAATTAACATTTTCAATAAACCATATTAAAGATACTTTAAAGGAAGACGTATATGACCATTGGGCGTTTATGCCCTGTAATGTGACAATCAACGGGGATAAGACCTAAATGATATTAAAGATCACTTACGCTTATTTTCGTTGAAGTATGTTATATAGATAAATTTAAAGGATGTCGAGAAAATTACTTCAGCAAAGTTTCATTGAAATCGGTACATTCGTTCAGGCACTGCAGTCTATAGCAACGCAGGTTTTCTGCATTTTTATTTTTTTTCTCCTTTATTAACTTATCAAATTCTTTCAACATTTATATTTAGCATTTTTTCGTAACTCTGAATAATGTGAAATGATTAACTTTTTAATATAAACCATATTAAAAGTACTTTAAAGGAAGACGTATATGAACATTGGGCATTTAAGCCCTGTAATGTGACATCAACGGGGATAAGACCTAATTTATATTAAAGACCACTTAATTATACAATGATACACCGAGTTTAATCAAAATCGTTAGGGCCGTTTTTGAGAAAATTGTAAAAATGTGTTTCAGCGTTGATATAAAGTTGCACTTCCGGTTAGCCGATTTTGAGGAAAGAGTTGCTGTCCCATCTAAGGCATAGACCTATATTAAATACGTAATATCAGTTAGAAGAGGGAAAAAGAAAGACGGGAGAATACAAAAGATCACTTCTTCCTGTGAAAAGTGAAGTAGAGTAAAGCATAGCCAGAAAGATGTGTACAGAAAATTTTCATGTATGAAAAAAAATGTATTGAGAAAAAAAAGTCCAATTCAAGAATACATTATTCCCTCTTAGAATATGAAGGACAGTACAATATCTTTCCGTGAGAGATCGCATGTTGTTCTGAATGGCATGATCGAAATTCGTGTGGCGACTAAATGGATTTCTGGAACTGCCTTTGACCTTATTATATTATATAAGACATATCACGCTTGGCACTTTGGAGATTTATATTATAAATAGTTTTCTTACTGAAAATATGGCGCTTTAACCATATCGAATTTGTTATTTGATATTATAAGTAATTATTTGATAAATTTGTCTGTCAGGAACACCAACCATAAAGCTATTTACAATGTGACCTGAAGCTATTTTGTATAAAATAGAATAAACAAAAGAATTATGGAAACAAGAAAGTTTAATTGAGAGAATATTTTTAACATAATGTTTTTTAATTAATTTTTAACATAATGTTTGAATTCGATCCTATTTATTACCATTTATACTTTATTTATAATATTATTGTAGGTAAATTGTTAAATTATAAACTTGTTCCGCTAATGTTAGTACAAAACACAGAATGTAACAATGTATATTCTCTTTGCAGTAAACATGACAGTTGTAATCTACAACTGCTACAAGTAGTCAGTCCATTAAATAGAAAAATAGCAGAGGAAAATAAAAAATGAAATTATACTAATAAATCACAAAGAAATAATATGTTTTTATAATCTTCTTTATAAAGATTTATCTGATTGATGATCTCTAAAATAACTCAAATTTTATATACGAACTTTTGCTAGCGATCTATTAGCGACTAACATTAGCGATTTTTTTAATAAAAAGTCCTAAATTCAATATTTCTTTAAAAAATCTATTTCTGAGGTTTAGACAGACATATACGCATTATTGTTGTTTTGAAGTTATGATTACTTGAATAATTTGAGGCAATTCTTCGATTTATCAATAACCAATAAAAAAGCAGCA